GTAAGTCTTTTAAATTATTATTGCACTGTAAGTCTATGATTTCCAGTTGAAATTCACTTGGTATTTTTTCAATGTCTACAGAAAATGGTTCATGCACAATCGACAACAGATTTTCTATTTTACCGAAATCCGCAAAGCTCCTAGAATACTCTTCGCTTTATTTAGTAATGATATCCAAATATTTAGTCAATTTATTCGTGGAAATATTCAATGTTTTTACTGTTGGAAAATGATCTAATCGTGTGATAGTTGTTTCTTAAATAAATTAAGTTTTACCTGAAATGCCTTTACATTCGTGAATAAGTTGTATGCATATTTTTTATTTCCCTGCAACGCTTCGTTGAGGACATTTAAATGTGTAATTATATCGAGTGCAAAAGCAAAATCACAAAGCCATTATGGTCTTTAAGTTCTGGAAAATCGGATATGTTTTTCATCTTTAAAAATAATTTTATTTCATTTTTCAATTCCCATATCCGATGCAGAACTTTTCCCAAACTTAGCCAACGAATGTGGCTGTGATAAAGGACATCTGAATACTCGGAATCGAGATTCTGGAGAAAGCTAGTAAATTGTCTATGATTCAAACCCCTTAACTTAACAACACGAGATGTAACATGTTCGACCTGTAGCACGTTTTCACATAAAGCCTGCTGATGTAAAATACAGTGAATTGTAATTAGTTCCTTATCACCTTCCTCATTAATTTTGTCCTTCATTTTCTTCAGAACTCCCGAATGTTTGCCGGTTAAACTTGGTGCTCCATCAGTAGTCACCCTCACGAGTTTATTCCATGGTAATTTATATTTGATTAAGCAATTCTCTACTTGTTCAAAAATATCATTTCCAGTTGTTTGATCCTTCATAGATTCCATTGATAAAAGTTCTTCGATTATGTCAAAATCAGGGGCACATGCTCTTATAAAAATTAATAATTGAGCTGTATCCTTCAGATCCGTACTCTCATCGAGAGCTATTGAATACCATGTTATCGATTATAGTTTTGCCAACAGTTGCATATTCAGATCATCACCAATACATTCAATTCTACGTGTTATTGTCCGTCGAGATAAACTTAGATTCTGTAATTTATTTTTAATACTCGGACTTACAATATCAGCAGCTGCAATCATGCATTCATTAATATATTCACCATCAGAAAATGGTTTATTTTTCTTTGCAATTATATGGGCAATCACATAACTCGCTTTTGTAGCATCTTCTTCTTCCTTAGTCATCCGCATAAATGTATTTTGTTGCAAGGATAAATTCTGAGCTAATTTATCTGCTGCTTTCGATCGAGCTTCCGAATTTAATTCTGAGTTATATACTTTATGTTTGGAATTGAAATGTCTTTTAATATTATATTCTTTTATCGTGGCAGATAAGACAAATAGCTTTATTGTTAACGTTAGTAAAAAAGTATTTTGTTTTCTATTCTTTGTTGAAAACACGTTTTTCCACATCGACCTTTCTTATCTTATTCATTTTGGATGTATTATTTATTGTATATTGTTTTAAATAATTGTAATAATTAATTCTCTTTTATTAGTATGTAATTACGACCTTTTCAACACGAATCAGAAACAACACTTTAATTTGATAAACAGTCAAAAGGCAGTTGTGTTTTG